TAGAGTCATACTGTTGCAGAGGCCATCTTCAGGACGTGGTCTGAAATAGAACAGATGAATAATCCCTTGGACATGCCTGTTTTTCTTGACCCAGTCTGGTGGAGTACTGTCCCCAGTTGTGCCTCCCCACCTCTTCACTTGCCTGGAATCTAATTGCAAGGTGAGTCAGATGAGTGACATGATCCAACAGGGAACTTTCTGTAATGAGGTAGTTTTCAGCTGGATCAGCTGATTGTGAAGCCACAAATGAATTGGATCAAATTCCAAATCTGAGAAATGTGATGGCAGCACATAGTTGTGGGTAGAGGGAGTGCAGTGTTGCTACATTCTCTATCAGCTGTAGTTACCCTGAAATTAGATGCAATTTGAGACTACCTTTGAACTAGATTCCTTACTTTCAGATAGCCAATTTAGGCAGCACAAGTCCCATTCCAAATGCAGTAGGAAATAATACAAGCATTTTGAACTACATCTAACAAAGGAAGCTTAGCATACCTTTTTAAAATAGCATATTCATTATACTACTCACACATAAATTGGAAAAGCTGGTTTCGGTAGCCATCTGTGTCTGAGGGCAAAGCCCACACTTGGTGGAAGAGTGCTCTAACCACCACCCATTGCTGTGCCGTGGAAGAGTCATGGGACCGGGAGAAGAGGGAGATACAATATGATACAGAGTATTCAGAGGGCTCTCCTACTTCACCCTGTGTTCAACAGAAAAAAAAAATGCTACAGAAACAAAACATGTGCCATGACTCCAGAGCCTTACGATGCTTCCTGAGTGTAGATTATCTTTTTCAAAATGTTCAGTAGGGGAAGTAAAGCTGGGTTGGAATCCTTTTGGGTTGAAGACAGTCTAAAACCCCAGTTCCCCTCATCTCTCACGTTTGTTCTTACTGCAGGGCTACTGCATAAAAGTTCTGCCTGTTTTGAAAGGATTCTTATAATTCACTTTGAAACCCATCAGAGGGAAGGGATGAAAAAAGGGGGGATAAAACAGGCTCTGAGAACATCTACCATATGTCTTTTGTGAACATAATGGGGAGCGCGGGGACCGCGGCGGGGGCTACGGCGGGCCCTGCCTGGCTGCGAGGAGGGCGAGCACGGGGGTACCTGTGGGAGACGAGCTGGCCTGCTCAGCAGAAGTAACGTTGCGGCATAGCAAAACAGTAGCGAGAAATGCTTGTGCTGGAGTGTTGCTGAAAGGATGGAAAGTATAAAGCATCATCTACAATTGCTTCACAGTCGGGCATGAGAAAATTGTCAAAGCTTTTTTGTATTCCGTGCTTTGAAGTGAATTACAGTGGGAGCTCTTTCCCTTTCAAGTGAAACTTGTCGGTCAGCGATCAGGTTTCATCCTCACCTTGCTTGTTCTCAGGCCAAAGTAGATGGAGATGAAACGTCTGGCTTTTACTGGACAAAAGTTGTGCTTAATTCTGATGTGTCCAAACTGAAGGTAAAATAACACATAGGCAGCTAAAAATTCGTTTTGCACATCTGATTTGTGATTGTGTAATATAGTTTGTCTCCTACCTGCTGCTGATGTCTGTTTTGAGCGATTGAAACTTTGAGGACTTTTACTCCTATGTTGATAACTACCCCCCCTCCCCCATGCCCACCCCATGTTATTTTCTTGTGGCATTGTAACACTGTATAAGTTTCTTGCACAAATTTCTTTAGTAGCCTTATACTTTCAACTACAAATACATTGTTTCTTCCTTAATGTTTATCCAACTTTAGAAGTGGGGGCTTGAATTTAATTCTTCCAGCTCTTCAAAAAAACAACTCAAAACTGGAAAGTATGTATCTTTGGGGGTGGAAGAGTTAGTGCATAAATGAAGGACTGTAACACAAATTCTGCATGTATGTTATCAGTAATTCTTAGTCAGCTGCATTTTAAAGCATAGCTTGCTTTTCATTTTGTACACTTAAGAACACTTTTCCATTGAAGACCGCTCTTCAATTTATTATTTTCTTGGTGGCAAGATTGACAGTGACTTATTTTGAAAAGTAGTAAATAATTTTTCCTAATTGTTTTGCTATCTTCTAGTGTAATTTGGCAGTTGAAAATGAGGAAGAGATTGCACTGCTTGCCAATTTTCCATGGACCATTAGAGGATTGAAACATTGGTAATATTATCTGTGGGATTGATTTGCACTAATAAAATTAAAAAGTGGTAGCTGAAGTTCTGGCAAACTTTCACGTTTTCACTTCCTAAGGCTGCTGTCTAGCAGTGAAGAGCAGACTGCTTGAATGGGTTTCTCCAGAGCTAAGTCTGATAGATCTGCTTGTCAGCACTCTTAAGTTTCATAATGCAAGGTAGTAGCACCCAGCTGTTACTTTGGTGGTTTATTTGCTGTTTTCTAGGTGCAGAGGTTGCCAACACCTTACTTACTGTGCTTGCCTAGTACAATCACCTGTAGGTATATTTCAAAAGCATTATTCTGCATACTGTATGAGCACAGGGAAATAACCACTCAATTGCAAGCTGTTTTTGGAAAAGCAGAGTGGACAATGGGCTAATTTTCACCAGTAAACACAGCCTCTTTCTGATGGCCCCTTTTGTGGTGTCCTGAGGGGGGACCGAAGGAGCAGCAGGCTGTTCAGTTGGTGGCAGCCTACTTTCAGGAGCCTACTGCCTTTATCCATCACTTAACTGGATTTGTGCCAGGGAGATGGAATGATGAAGTGTCCCCGAAAGTGTCCCTGGGCCCTTCTTCCCTGAGGCCCCTTGGGAATGTGCTATTATCTGGATGAACTTCTTGGCAGGCTTCGTAAGATAACATCAGCTCATGTTCTCGGGAAACTTCTAAAAGTTGTCAAGCAGTAGTGTTATTTTTCAATTCATTTCTCAGAATGAAAGTTGAGTGCTCTGCTTTTGTTGTTGCCCAGCAAGAAAGTTTTCTTTTGAAAATCGGATTCCCAAAGCAGCAAGGCAGTCAAAAGCTATCCTTAATTTCATACCAATTTGGACACTGATGTAGTTGGTAGTATTGCTGTGGTAGTTGTGCATTTTCATGGACAGCTAGTCAGTTCTGTGTAATAGTTGGAAATTATTTTGGAGCCATTTAGGATGGTGGATTGCAGAGAACACATCTGGAACTAAGTTGTTTTCCACTGTTTTGAGAAGCATAAGTATCTTCAAGTTCAGAAGGAAAAATTTCTTAGTTTGTCTTGCCAGCCATCAGCATTCAGCTAGTTCTGTTAGCATGCTTCTACTGTAATAGCTTACCATGTAGTGTCAACTTTGTACAGAGATTTTGAGGGGTGCACCTCTTCTTTAGGTGTGGTTGGCAAAAGAATGTTGTTAAAGAATGCTTTAACAGTCATCCTAAATATTATTAGTTTAAGCTGCGCAGAGATTTGAGGAGGTAAGCCACTGTCATCTTCAAAGAGTCCAAATCTCTGGATGAAGCCCAAATACTTCTTGTTTTCTGCACCCTCTTTTTACCATATTTAGGAATATTTCAACAGGAAGGGATGCTAATCAGTGGTGGAACAAGTTGATGTGGATTTTCACAATCAAGTCCTTTGACAGTGTCCAAATAAGGAACATAATACTGGACTTTAACAAAAGAAAAAGTCTTCAAGACACTGGACTGTTGAGATTATAGTTAAGAGACTCTCATCCTCCGTTTAAAGGGTTAGAATGGTGTTCTTGCTAGTTTGATGGGAGGTCTGCTTCTGCAGTATTTCACAACCTTAATCATAAAATTATGCCCAGAGAATTGTTCCTGGGAAATGCAGGTTTAAATGGAAGTTTGATGCAGGCAAAATAATGGTGCAATGTGCTTTAAGAACCAAAAGATTGTCTGCTAATCTGTCATGACAGGCTAATTGGTAATGTAGCAGTGGTTAGGCTAGGTTTGATGAACTTACTGCTGAAGCAGTTCTGAAGTGTCATTTAGATGTTATCTCAAGAATAAAATCTGTAACTCTGGATTTAATGTAGTGCATATTTTATTCTAACTTGATGTCAAGCATTGTAAACAATCTATATTATAAGGAGACAACTGGAAGAACTTTTTACTTCCTGCTGTAAGCTTAGTATTTCTGAATTTTTGTAAGCTGCAGTGAATACAGGTTCTGGTATGAGTTGTCATAAAATCACACATGATATTAAGAGGAGGTGTTTAAAAAACACAGAGGTTTTTGCATGATTTTTCTCACTTATGCACAGTAAGGGAGGAAGGTACTTCTTGGATTTGCTTTGGATGTTAGTCTAGTTCTCAGTGTAACTGGCACCACAGGCGTGGGAAGAAAGGAAAGATTCAGTCTTACTATTTACAGCAATAGGAAATTAAGCAGGTAGTTTAGTAATGTAGTAGAACTGCCAGCCTGACACAACTTGCAAAGATTTTTTTTTCACATTATATTAACTATAGTAGTTATTGACTGTTTTATGCTTTACAACTCTAGATGTTTAATAATCTGCCTGAATTACATATGATTGTGCATATGGTCGGTATATAGTCTGATATTAGAATGTAAGAAATGCTTTGACCATGATTCCCATGGTGCAATTTCTTGTAATAAAGTACTCTTTCTATTTTAAACTCATTATTCTTTAGATTTATCCCCTTGGTTAGTCAACATCTTCAAAACTGTTCAGTTACATTTGTCTGCGAGCTGGGCTTTTGTCTGTTTAGACCAGGTTTGCCAAAAGGAGGGAAAATTCTTGCAGAGGAGATTCTTGACCCAGATAATTATGGAGACTGCAGACTGAGAGTTAACTTCTGGCTGCAAGGGAAGATGAATTCCAAGGATCAGTTCAGCTTCTCATAAGGCTGGCGCTTTTGCCCAAGTTGGCCTGCTGCTTTTCTCAGCATTATTTTAGGAAGAATGGACATTAACTGTAAGCTAACAGAGGCTGAGTAGAAAATGCATAGGAAAGGAGCTATAGCCACCTCTCCTTTCAGTTATTTGTAAATATTTATGAAAAACACGAACTTCTCACTGAAGATGCCTTTGGTGTATGTTCTCAGTGAAAAATGGCAACACTGATAGGATAAAAATGAGTGGAATACCCCTTCTGTATAATAGTCAACAACAAAATTATTTTTCAGTACCTCTTTCTGAAAATGAATCACCAGACTCTGAGTTAAGCTGAGCAATCTGAAGCCAACCATAGTATGTTCCACAGGCAAAGGAGTTATTGTAGACTGTACTTTCCTGGTGATTATTTTTCTTTCCTCCCAGGGAAGAGATGTCATTTTTAAATGCTTCCCCTCATTTCATCTGTGACAGTGTGCATTATAATATCAAAATTCAGAAGAATCAAAGTAGTTCTCTAACATGTAAAATCTGTTCTTCTAGCTGATAAAAATAACACTGTATTTGTGAAAAGTTAAGTCTCTTGCTGATCTTCCTTCTGAAGTGCTGCTTTTACTGTGGCTTGATTTGTGGGGCTCTGCAAATAGATCCTGGCACTTTTTATTAGTATAACATGCCTGTGATGCACCTTGTTTACAGAGTAATCATCATCGTCCTCATATATCTCTAATGTGCTCACCTTCCTGCTTTGTTGTAATATTTCTGGGTGAAAGGTAATTTGAGTTCTGTGGATTTGCTAGGGTTTGCATAAGACTTCTAAGCATCTAAATTGTTTTTCCTTGGCTTGTCTTACAGTTTTCAGCATTGTCTTGCCAGATCCTGAATCCTTTTGTCTTCATTCTGCTCAGCTTACCAAGTTGAGCGATGTCTGTCTTGGCTAAGCTGCCTCATGCGCGGCGAGATCCTGCATAGCCTTCTGAAGTTGAGTTGAGGTGGCCTCATGTCAGCTCAGTCACCGCTGTTTGCTTTGCCTTGGATCACCTAGCAGTGTTTTCACAAGACACCTTCCACAAGTGCTCCCATAAGGACTTTTTAGAAATACTGTAAATGGGGATGCAGTTAAACTGAACAAGTTGTTGTTTAATGGCTTCACTGAAGTTAACAGTTCAACAGGGAATTTTTTCTATGGCGGCATTGCTTGTTAGAGGTTATTTTCAGTCTTGTCTAAATGGAATCTGATTGGACATACTCTTCTGTGCAGTTCTGGGCATGCTAGTGAAATCCAGAGGGGTTAATATTAAAGCGGTATTTTTTGTAGAAAGGGCCAACAAATGCATTTGTTCGTTTTATTTGACAGACAAAAAGAACAAAGTTAATTACTTTTAACTTCAGTGATGTGGAATTGTATGTAATCAGAAATTCTTGGTGAGTGACTGCAAAAAAAAATTTGCAATCAGTTTCAGTCTTTCAGGACTACTTAAACTATATTGAAGAGATGAAGTAGTTATATTTATGTTTTTACAATGCTTTGGAATTTTAGTATTTGCATTTATATAGAGAGCGGGAAAATTATTTCTTTAGCCTTAGGAAGAAAACAAGACTTTCACTAGGAGAGAAGGCTGAGTGGGAGTGTTGAATTTTTTGTTAATTCTTTGGTGTTTACATTGGTATAATGGATTTTTGAAGATTTTTAATCATGCTAGAAACTGATTGTAATTTTAGTCTGTGAGTGAAGATTTTCTTTGGACATTCTTTTGAAGACTTTCTTTTAACCATTCTTTTTGTAACTTCAGTCACTGAGAACTTTAGTATTTCATTTTAGAGATGTGCATCTGGGGAATTGGAGTTATACCCCTGAATGGAATAAGAACAAATGCCAACTAGAATAGTTAACAACCTTAGTGAAGTAGAATATTCTGATAGTTTTTACTCATATTTGTTTTAACTGTTTCAAATCATGTACATTTTAAGTGTTGGGTTTGGGGATGTTTTGATCTGTTTTTGTTATTTCTTGAAATTCTAGGCAGTTTTAACATCTTTGCGACTTTGTAGCATAGAAATAACTCAGTTCTAAGCTTGTAATTTTTAAAAAATAAACTTCAGTGAAATCTGAAGCTTAGAAAGCTTGAACCTGCCAAGACTTCCCTCTAAAAATGTTGTTAGCAATGGGTAGTCTTTAAGTTTTCTGCTTTAAGAAATGCATTGTGCTATTCACTGCAGTAACTAAACACTGATCAGAGTATTTACTCTTGCAAAATTATAATAAAGCAGTAAAATGCAATTGTTAAGATGCAGAACTAAGGCAGAGGAATCAAGCGAATAGCATGTATTTGCATGGAGAATCTGCAGCAATATT